CCCCTCTGGACAGGACAGTTGCGGAGCTTAAGCGAGTAGGAAAACCGTTCTTAGCAGTATTTCTCGGCCATCTTGATTAACAGGACAACTGTACCCCTTCTGAGTTACACTGCAGTGTCAATGTCAGCGCACTGTATCTCCAGGCCAAGAAGCACAGGAAAACCCCCCTTGATACCCCGGAAATTTGCGCCCCTTGGCCCGCCAAGGCCCCACAACAATGACAAAAATTTACGGAAAACGCCTAAATGACCGGTTTTTCATGATAAGCGTTCTGAAAAGGTGCCCCAGGTGGCCTGACAAACGAAAAACAAAGGGAGAAGGGGCAATAACTCCAGGAATCATGTGTACACCTGCCTGGGAATCACCAGGATAAAAATTAATCAAAACCAACAGAAATCGCTTAAAATAAGCGAGAAACTAGTGGAACTCCTAAATTAGTCGAAAGAAGCATTTTCCAGATAACCTAAGAAATGAACATAATTGGACGGGAATCACTGGGAATCAAGGATTTCGGGAATCATGTGTACAATTTAAGAGGGAGTTATTGCCGCGTCGACAAAGGGTATTTTCCTGTCACCCTGCTCTCTGCGCGCCCCACTTATGTACTGCAATAGCCTGTCATAACCAGTCTCTCGTCTAAAACTAAATTTTGCATCAAAAATAAAAATGCATGGGGCAAGCAAACCCATGTCGTTCGCATTCGCACTTACCAACACTGGTCTTATCCTGGGCCGGCTCGGACGGAAACGCTGCCGTCTGCGTGAGCAGGAGCAGGAGGCCGATGGCACAACCGAACAGAGCGAGCTTCATCGTGGAAGTGACGCTGGTTGGGTGGAGCGCGGTGTATTTAACGAGAGCGATACGGCCCGCAGAGAGTGACGCGGAGACGGTTTCCGTTTACTCGGGTGGCTGTTCGAGTATGACTACACAGCATGAGCTTAGCCGGCTAAACCCGAAACAGGGGGTGTCTTAAGAGCAGAGGTTAACGTGTGAAATGGACATATCGTTCGGTACAAAGCTTTCGCACGTGACGCATCGCGCGTATCGCAGATAGGGAGATATCTCGAGCACGTAGTTCCGGAAAGGATGCCCCGCTGTCACACAGCTGCTCGCTGTCTAACGGGGTTAAAAAAAATGTGAGTATTGTGAGTTTCGATGCATTCCATACACTGAAAAGCCAAGTGTGTGATTGTAGCACACTTGCATTCGCGCAGGGATTTACACTCGCCTAAGTGAGTCTATTCAAATTCACACGCCTCTAAGTGTGTGACATCCACGCACGACGCACACCCTTCACTATGAAAACGACGTTAATTTACAAAATCGGTGTAAACTCGAATTACAAAGTAAATTGTGAATTTCCGAGAGCATATTTGTTACTCGCCAATGCATTTTTTTATTCCACATTTGAATGGGCCCCATGAGTCAGGGACTCTTCTTAAGGGACAATCTACAGTCGACAGTTATTTTAAGTCGAGACGTACCGCATGATTTTTTACGATTACAAATTATAATTTTACAACTTGCGTCAATGAAAATTTCCCTGTAAACAATATTTCACAGTGTTAGGATAGCTCTGTGCAAATGATTTTGTAAAAGCCCAATTTGCACTCCTGTGCCACGACACTGAGTGGCCTTGCCGGCTGGCGACCTATTCAACACTCGTGTAGGTTGGGTTGCCTAGCTGTAAGGCTGCCTTTCCTCGCTTGTTTTTCTCCATGCGAGATGAAAAGAAATCCGCATGTGAACCGGAGAATTGTATTTTTTTTTTTTTGAGTGTGTTATTGGTTGCCAACTCATAGTAGGCCTAGGGTCAGGGCGGAGGAGGATGAGACACGTCAAAGTTGGGGTAGAATGAGACATTTACTTCGGTGATCTAGTTTTCCTGCTTTCTTTGACATAGAGCACATGCTGGAGTCCTTATATTTCTACTTTAACATATTACTTTAAATATCAACAGATTTTGAGAAATCGTACCACTTGTTCTCGTGACACGCTACTAGGCGGGTTTTCGGCTGTCTCATTCTCCCCGACGCATGTCTCATTTCCCCCCGAAATGTGTGTAGAGGAAAATATGCACATAATCTTATTTCCTCCACAAAATAAAGATTACGTCATGGCCTATGTTTCATCGTCTTATATCAGCGGGACTAAAAAAGTGACTAATTATGTGCCTGAAAGAATCAAAGTACGTGAAATGTATCATTCTTCCCTACCCTGGCCTTCCATCCGCCATTTAAAATAATTTCAGCAGTCGTGAGAGAACACTCTAAAAAGTATCGTGAGCAGTTATATACCAGGTGGCTGACGCACGCCGCGCACTTTCGTAGTTATACTGTGCCGCATGCACGCGTGCGGACAGGTTGCCTTCTCGCACGGCGCCGCATAAGGAGCCGTGGGCAGCGGGGACAGGCAAACCCGCCCGCACGCGCGTATGCGGTACAGTATAACTACGATGCGCGGCGTGAGTCAGCCAACTAGTATTCTAGCAGAGAATTTCTTTACAGTAGGAAAGGATTTTCTTCACAGTTTGCAATTGGTTAACAATAATTGCGAAGCAGCCGCAAAGTCTCGCAGAGTTTTCACACGCTAAAATGTATTTGTATGTCTTTGTGCAGAAGTTTGTGCGAAGGTAAACCTACACTGCAAAATGCTTACAAACTAAATGCTCTGCAACGTTAAAAAAAAAAAAAAATTCTTTGTGTTGCAAAAGCAATTGTTTCTAACGCAAGGGAGGTTCTAACGAACAATCGGTTTGCATTACGAACCAAGCTTAAGAAGAATTAGTTCGTAAGACAATGCTGCAAAATCCTTCGTAAGCTACGAAGGTTTTGGTGGTTTTGGTTTGCATTACGAACCTGTTCTTCGTAAGCAATTTACAGTGTACGTTTTGTTTTGTACAAATTTGTGAGCGCAAAAATGCATGTTTTCGCACAAATGAAAACCCAGCAAAGTGTTCAAATCAACGCTGAATGTTTAAATTTGTACAAATAAAAGATACACATCCAGTTCATGTGTACAGTGTGTCGATAATGGGGCATATGCATTACGGCCCACCGCTCAAAAGTTAATCAGTTTCTGGATAAAAGAAAAAAATAGAAAGAAGTACCAATCAGTTCGATATGTTGTACTGAAATATTTATTGTTTTCAGCGAACACTCATAAATAGACATCTTAACGTGGTAACAACATGTATTCGAAGGACTCTGGCACATGACTCGACTTGCGGTAAGACATTTAGTTTGTTCACAACTGACAATGACACAGTTTTTGTAAAATATAGCGGTTTTTGTTTCCAGGTAGATTTCACAGTCATGGAATAAATACAGGACAAATAAAAAGAGAGCACAGCGCAGCAGCTTTAAAACAAAGCCACTTGTGCCCAATCTGTTGACGTACTCTATATACAATACCATCAAAGACTGCTCTGTAGGCAAGTATTTAAACAACATGTCAAACAAAAATTACCCAATAAAATATGTAGGGAAGGGGTGTCCCCTAAACTGTACAATTTCATTGAAACCTACCCCCAGTCCCGGTTAGTCTGCGATGACCGGGGGCGCACGCCGCCGCACACATGAGATCTGTTCTCTGCCGACCGTCCTCAGCTTTGTACTTGCAGATGAGAAGTTGGGAGGGCCCGGTATCACGAGCCCCCGCGCATAAATACACTAATATAACAACTCTTTCTCTCTCTCTCCCACTCTATCATATTTTATAAAAAATTCTACACACTAAATCACAGTCACATAAAAGGGAGTGCCACCGTAGGTCGTTGGCGACAGTTACACACCGTCACACCCGGTGTCACACGTCGTGTCACACTCGGCGTCACACACCGCACCGTCTCTTTGGCTGAGCTGTAGGGGGTCGTCACGATGGGGGATCGCGCGACCTAGGCCTCGGACTCGCTGCTGTCGTCGTGGCTGCTGAGGTCGACGGGGCGGTGCGCCGAGGACGGCGAGGCCGCCATGTCGGCGCGCTCGTCCTCGTCGTCCTTCCACGAGGCCGCGGCCTGCGAGTCGCCCTGGGGCGCGCCGCCGGTCTTCTTCTTGGCCTCCTCCTCCTGCTCCGTGCGCTTGTGCTTGGTCCGCCTGTTCTGGAACCACACCTTGACC